TCCCCCTCCCGCGCATCCCGCACCCGCGGTCAGGCCAGCTGATCGAGCGGCTTTCCGCGGCTTCCCCTCCCCGCGGACCCCGCATCAGACCGTGAACGTTCTGAGCGGTTTCCCCCTCCCCGCGGCTTCCCCCTCCCCGCGGACCCCCCGCGGACCCCCTTCCCGCGGACCCCCCCGCGGACCCCCCTGCCCCTCACCCCCCTCGGAGCTCCCTAGTTAGAACCGGCCTTATACATCTACTTAATCGAATCAAAGGAGTATCAACTTGATTAGCTTTCTCGTAACCTAACAAGAGCATCGAAGGTGAGTTCTTTAATGAGCTATGATAAGAATTATTAATAATGTACTGAATAGTTTCCACTGTATCAGACCATGAGTCTTGTTCCTCCGTTAACTTTCTCAAGGACGATTTGAGGAAACGATTTACACGTTCACAGACCCCATTTGCCCATGGGACCGCTACTGTTATTAAACGATGATTGATTCCATGACGTTCCAAATAATCTTTAAATTCAAAAGAAGTAAATCCCGAACCTCTATCTGAGACTAACTCAACCGGGTTCCCAAAGACCTTAAATACTGAATTCAATTTTGTAATGGTCTCTTTGGAGTTGATGGATTTTACCGCGAATAACCATGTGAATCGACTAAATGAATCAATTAGAATCAAAATGTGTTTATACCCTAAATGAGAAGGCTGTAGAGGACCGAAATGTCAATATGCACAGTATGCATTGGCATTTTAGGAGATTCAACCAACTGAATTTCTCCTTCCTTGGAGTGAGAGGAAGAATTAGAAATTAAACATGTCAAACAGTCATCCATGTACTGCTGAATTCTTTTTTTCATAGATGGGAACCAATAATTAGAGAATAAACCTTGGTAGGTTTTTTCCGCACCACAATGTGCATTGTCGTCATGGTAGACACGAAGTAAATTTATAACCATTGATTCTGGCACGTAAAAACGTGGCTTATCAGGAAATTTCCGATAAATTAAACCATCAAAAATTTCAAACTTCTCGTGAGATTCTTTTTCGAGTTGGCAAGCAATTGCTTGGATATTTGCGTCAGCAAGTTGACGAATTTGCAGTTCCCTTTCTAAAGGTATTAGATCAACTGGAGCTGTTACTCTGCTCAGGGCATCTACGTGAACCATTTGCTCGCCCTTTCGATGGATGATTTTGAATTTATAATTTTGCAATCTAAGAGTCCATCGTGCTATACGAGGATTTAGATTTGCTTTATTTACAGCGAACACAATCGCATAACAATCGGTTACGATCGTAAATTCCAAACCGTAGAGGTAGATGTGAAACCTTTCAACTGCTTTTACTACAGCCAGCATTTCAAGCTTATATGAATGATACCTACTCTCGGCAGAAGTAGTCGCCTGACTAAAATAAGCTACAGGAGCTAAAACTCCATTTTCTTGCCTCTGCAAGAGGATTGCTGCAATTGCAGTTGAACTTGCATCTGTGTGCAATTCAGTGGGCAACTTAGGGTTGTACAACCGCAGGACAGGAAATTCAGTTAGTGCAGCTTTTAGCGAATTAAATGCTTGAAAGCATTGCTTATCAAAATTAAAAGTAGAAGACTTTTTTAATAAAGAATATAAAGGTTTCGTGATGAAAGCGAATTTATGTATAAAACGACGGAAAAAACTGACCAACCCTAAAAATCTTTGCAATTGACGTACGTCCTTTGGCACAGGAAAATCTTTGACTGCCTGTACGTGTCTTTCACTCAAAGTGATTCCTTTGTCAGACAAAGAATAACCCAAATATTCAACTTTCGATTTCAAAAACTGACATTTGTCGTAATTCACCGTGAAAGCATATTGTTTAAGCAAAACCAGAGTTTGTTGTAAAACTTCTAAATTTTCCTCAATCGAATCTGATGGAATCATTATGTCATCAATATAAACTAGCAGTTTATCCCGAGCAATCAATAGTTGCAGAATCTAAATTAAACGCTTCTGAAATTCTGCAGGAGCTTCAGAATATCCAAACGGAAGTTTCAAATATTCGTACTGCCCATCGGGCGTCGCGAATAAAAAATACTTAGTGTGCTCTGGATGGATGCTAATATTATGAAAACCATCCTTGAGATCCAGTAAAGTGAATATTCTTTTATCACTTATATGGGCCAGGCAATCTTCGATTAACGGGAACGGATACTTTTGCTTAACTATTCGCTCGTTGAGCGGACGCAGATCTACGCATAACCGAATTTTACCGTTCTTCTTAGGCACCGGCACCACTCTCGCGCAGTACGGCGAGGTACTTATTTTAATAATGTTTCGTGACAATAAGACTTCAATTAACGCACGCAATTGAATACGTTCCGCCCACACAAAACGTCGAGGGGCATACGCATATGTTGACGTATCCTTAAAGCCGGTATCAGACTACGCATTGGAGATTGAGATTAAGATTGAGATTAAGATTGAAATTGAAGATTGTACAATCACATTACAGATTGTGATCTGCATTGCAATTGACAATATTGCTGCGTTCAGCAAACAAAGCAGCTCGGTTTATATACATATTTGCATGTATTATTAAGATAATTTACTAAATTTTGTTCATAACAATACTTACCTGTGCATTAAATTTAATTGCACGTTTATTATTGTACGAACTTAACCTCTATCTGCTTTATCATTCTCGGTAAAAATGTCAGTAGTCATCACGTGACCAAAAAGTCGTCAAGCCATT